GACTGTGACTTTGTTAGTTGAAATTGTCCTTCGTTAGCCTCTAGACGCTGTAGATTGAGCATAAGAATTTAAATCGAATCTAAATATATTTGTTGTCTATTCTATAATTAAAATATAATTTTCTTTCGTATTTGTGATGTAATATTAGAAAAAAAGTTGAAAATTTTGGCCATTTTAATTTGGTTATTGTCTCTTAAAGTTGTTAACTTTGCAATCCACTTGTAGGTATATATATTTGGCTTTGAAGTAAATAAATAATTACCAAAGAGAGACAAAGCAAAGAAATTATTGGCAAATAAGTCTAATTTAATTACAGGAAACTATTATTCTACTTTTTTAAATATTGTAATATCAACAAATTTCCACCTCATTTTTACTATTCTAAAAAAAATCATACCCATAAATATGGAGAAAGAAAAGAAGAAAGAAGAAGAAAAGAATTGCAGAGTTTTGATTTTACTTTTTTACGTATGGAGAAAGCAAGTAAAGAAGACAATCATACCCAACCCAACAAACCCATAAATATTTTCTGTTTGTTTCTCGGGAAACGAAATCCAATCAAGCAAAAACCTGAGAATCATCACTTTAACCTGAAATTCCCCCCTTTAAAAGAAGAGCTGATAAGACATGTTTTAATCCCTCTTTTCAATTTCTAGTAATAATAAAGGACACCGAAATAAAACCAAAACCAAAAACCCAACCCCAACCCCAAAAGAAGAAAAACCAAACAACCCACTCAAGTGAGGTTAAAAAAACGACGTGGGCCGAGTTGTTTGAACTAGATCGCAACCCGATCGGATTCACCCGCGCCAATCTAAGCAGACTCCTGAAAATAAAAGGAGAGATTTGGAGCAAGATAAATATTTGACAAATGCTACTTTTTACTATACTTAATTAAATCATTTGTCTGATTTATACGTCAGAGTGTCTTGAATTTAAGACTAGATTGATTATAGATTATTTTTATAAGTATTCGTTGGAGCGTTCGAAGTTAGAGTGTTAATCCATAATCTCGAATCCAACTCCTCTATCAACAAATATAACATCAAAACAAAATGAAGTTTTCTATTTTCTCTTTCCCTTTTCTTTCCCTCCCAAGTAAATAGTAAAAATCAATGAACGAAGAACAAAAGAAAAAGAAAAATGAAAAATTTAAAGAATCGTACATTGATAAAAGTCCGGCAACGATTTGGTCCTTGGATTTAGGGCAAACACACCTGCAAACTACGATCAATAAATCTACTTTGAATTCAGAGGCAGCCCTCTCGCAGGACCCCCCCTACCCTAAAACCCCACCATCCCCAATCCCTTTCTCTTCAAAAAAAATTCTTTTTTTTTTTAATTTTAATTTTCTTCTATGTTTTAAATTTTCTGACCCCTAAACGTGACTAAAAGTAATCTCTTTCCTCTCTTTGCCGACTTGTGATTGTGAACAACAAGGACACTGTTGCCCTTTATATGGGGGTCCCTCTAGGACTCTTTCTTCTCTCCTTAACCTAATCCTAAACCCTCATCCAAACAAACAAACACAAACCATTCTCTCTAACTAAATCCAAACTCTCTAATTTTCTCCTCAAGAAATTACCAATGGAAGGGCAATTATACGACATTATTTAATGTAACCGATACAATTTGACTGTCTCTTAACAGCGGTCAAATTCAAGATTAAAATTTGTCTGCTTTTGGATATCAGACATAGATTTTAAATTCTTTCTCATATACCTACACGGTATCTTCGTAGTGTGAGTTTCAAGAAAATTTGGACATGACGAGTTGGTTTTGGAGGACGATCAAAGGAACGGAATAGTATATTCATATTTACTTAAGATTCTGTGGAGAAAGGTCAAAGTTCTTTGGCCTTTTTTTTTTCACTTGTCTATTTGACTATGAAAAGTTAAAATTTTTATGTGACTTTGATTGAAAGCAAAGATGGATATGGTCATGGGTATATGATGTAAAAGAAAAAAGAGAAAAAAAAAACACACACATATGTGTAGTACAAATCAAAAGCAATCAAAGTTCTTAAAGAAATACACTTTTTTATATATTATTCGAATAAATCATCATCAAACAACCTCGGAAACATACCATATTATAATTAGAAATGTCACACTCAGATCCTTAAATCACAAACACATACAATGAAAAAGAGATAATTAAAAGGCCAATAAAATATATAATTTTCATCATGTAAAATAAATCATCCGTTTACAAATTTTATCTAATAGATGTCTACAAATTTTATCTAATAGATCTCTAAACTTTAAAAGTAATATAAAAAGTCTCAAATTTTCAATTTTGTATCTAATATATCTCTAAACTTTCAATTTTCAATTTTTAAGACAAATTTTAAACTTTTGAGATTCGTAGAACACAACATTTAAAATTCAAACACTATAGTCACAAGAGGTTTTTCAAACTAGAAGATAGATTTTTCTTTTTTATCTATTTCTAATTTTGAATTTTCTCTATTTTCATCCAGAGGGTAAAAAATTTCATAAACAGGTCTTTTCATATTTCGATAGCGTTTCCTTTTAAAGTGGAATTCATCCTTTATTTTTTTCCTTTCAATTCACTCAAATCTCTTCTGTTTCATCGATTTTGTCTGGATCCTCTTTTTTTTTTTGGAAAAAAGGGAAGGAGAAGTATCTTCTTTTTGGTGGATCCCTCTTATTCTTGTTTAGTCCCCTTTTTTTATGAGGTGGTTTCTATTTCTACATCTGTTTCTTCCTCGCTTTCCCCCACCCCCACCGTTTTAAAAAGTTAGGGATACCTGTCAAACATAAAATAAAAAATTTAGTATTATAGATGCCTTATAAAAGTACCGACTTTCAAAATTTAAAGACCAAACTTGTAATCGATCAAGAATTAACTCCAATATACTTTATTTTGGGCTAACGAAACCGGGTTCCCATCTAGGGTTTTGTAGGGTTAAACAACCCGTATCCAACGCCAGAGATCGGCTGACTCACATGACGACACCCTTTTTTTCTCTCTCTCTTCTGCGTTTATATATATACACACACAAACACAATGAAAAAAAAAATTAAAAACCTTCCACTTATTTTCTATGTACCAAAATTTTGATCGGTGTGTTTCTCCAAGTGGGTGCCGTTGGGAAATGGATTACAGCTTTCCGACGAGCAACCCCAGCTCGTGTGGCTCGTCCTCCGGCGGCGGCGGCGGCGGAGGAGAGATCAACAAAAAAGAGAAGATGAAGAAGAGCGGCGGCGGTTGCAGCGACGGCGGAGGGAAGAGGAGCAAAGGAGTGGTGAAGCTGTCGACGGACCCACAAAGCGTGGCGGCGAGAGAGCGACGGCACAGAATCAGCGACCGGTTCAAGATTCTGCAGAGCTTAGTCCCCGGTGGCACCAAAATGGACACCGTCTCTATGCTCGATGAGGCCATTCATTATGTCAAATTCTTGAAAACCCAGATTTGGCTTCATCAAACCATGATCAATTTCGTTGATTATGACGTGGCGGCGGCCACGGCGAGCTCCTCCCTCCCTCTGGACCCCAGCGGCGGCGATTACTGCAGCAACGTGAATAACATTAACAACAACATTCTGTACACTCCAAACGACGTCGTCAAAATGGAGGAGCCGTTTTTGCCACCGCAGTTGGATCCCACCGGCTACTACTCCTCAGGACAAGACCAATTCATGTGCTCTTATGATGCTTACATGAACTTCTAGCTCTTTTTTTTTTTCTCTCTTGCCTTTGATTTGTATCTACTTAATTATGTTAATTACTCTATGTGTATTTTGCAAACTTTAGAGTGGGTTAATTAAGGCTGTGATTATAATTAAATTAGAACAAATTTGGGATATTTTGAGACCTCTTGTAAGAAATTTCACCCAATTGGCTAGTTTCCGATATTGTTTTTACTTTTACTTCTTTCTCGGGATGGATATTTGAAGCATCGATTGAGAGATAAAGATTTTTCTGTGTCATTTTAAGTTTAATCTTCCTTTGCATGTCTCTTGATCTGTTCAAAGTTTAGGTTGATAGTTGTTAATATGTATATATGTTTGGCTTTTGGTTCTTAGTATGAAAATTTCTATTTTGTTTTTCAATGGTGGAGATTTCATCGTACTAGTTAAATTTAAATTACTTGTTTTTATCTTTGAAGATAGATTGACAATCTCTTGAATCTCCAACTTTAATTAGGCTGAGGGTCCATTGGACAATGATGTGATCTTTCTAATTTTGTGTTTAGTAATTTAGTTTCTTTGTTTTGTGAGATATTTTCTTTTTTTAAATGATTTTCATTTTAAATATTGGATTAGGATTTGGAAAGTATTCTTTTAGAAGTGAGAAACAACACATAGAATAGTTAGTGAGTTTACTTTTTAAGAATGCGAAGTTTTTATCAAATAGTGACTTGTTTCCTATGAATTTCTTTTTCCTTTTTGTAATTGTGTTTATAATTTGAATTAGTAAAGGAAAGGTGTTCAATAATCGTTTTCTTAATTACAAAAAATTTGTTAATCTTTCAATTATTATGAAGGAAAAAAACCATAAAATAAATGAGTATTAACGAGCATAGTTTTATTTAAAAAATCAAAATCATTATCAAACAAAATTGTAATTCGTACTTGCTTTAGTTATACCTTTTTGCTTAATTAATTAATGTCATATAATCAAGATCTTTGCAAATTCTTCGGGTTGCAAAGAACTAAACTTTGTGGTCCTTTTTAGGGAAAAAAAAATTAATTAAGACATAAAAATATTCATCGGACACGTCTGTTAGGGGCTGTTTGGAACACGAAGATGCCTTAATGTCCACGAGAATAAGATAGTTTAGAACATGTTGGTTGATGGAGACAAATTTGTTTGTATTTGTAACATGAAAGAATCTTAAAATAGAAAGTCTTCAAATATTACATAATTTCCGCTTAATGTGTTCCTAGGAATTTCACAAGGAAAAAAAAATTAATTACTTGATATGAATAATATAATAATTAATGCTAGAAATGACACTTCTTACATTTTTGGAAAATAATTGCAAACCAACATATATAATCTAGCATATGCATGCCAATTTCTTTAAATTGGGTCAAATTAAACGAGCCAAATTAACAAAATTTTTAAAGATGTTGATATGTTTTAGTTACGTTTTTGGTTTGAGGTTAATTTAATATGCGAGAATATTTAATTGCAAATATTAGATTTAAATCTTAGATTATCAACTTTTATACTCCTTCATTTTAGTCTGTATAAATTTTTATTCTGATTTGATTCATGGATTTTTTTTAAGAACTATCTTACTTATTACCCATGTCAGCCCATTTATATTAGACACCTATTATAAAGCAGTTTATACAAAATCAATTAACAGTTAGAATTAATTCTCTTTTTTGGCTTAAAATATTTGATAGTTAAAAAGATCCATGACTTAAAATCATAGAATCATTATCATCTGCCCTCAAAATTTAATTATAGCAACTCAAATTTATCACAGTTTTACAAAATATTATATTATTATAATCCGAAGTAAAAAAATTAAAGAATAATATAAGAAGTTAAAGATTAGAGAGAGATAAAATTATCTCATTATCATCTTCAACTCTTTAATCATAGGAACACAAATTTAGCTAGATTGTATAATTATTTGAAATGGAAGAGAGTCGTCGAGGATGAGATTTGACATTATGAAACGTGGAAAGCAGAGACGATAATATTATATTATTATGATTGGAAAATTATGGATATTATGAAAGAAAAGAAGTTGAGAGATTAGATGTGGATGTGCAAACTAGAAGTCACAGTCTCACATAATTTTCCCAACAAGTGACAGGTTGGGGTTGGAATTTCCCTACAAATGATAAGGTACCAAACGAACAAGAGCTGATCACGACAAGAGAGAGAGAAACAGAATGAGCAGTTTTATTGAAATTAATAATATTAATTCGTTACTCTTTTTTTGCAAATTGGCAACCACAAAGACAATAAATGTAAAACATGCAAAAACAGTAGAACAACAACCACTCTCTTCCTCCACATTTATGACCTCAACACCCAAAATCATCCTATTCTTACTTTTTCAGTTTTGTTTAGTTTCAATTTGGTTCTTGTGATTTGGTTAAATCTTCCAAAACGTATGTAATATGTTTCATTAGATTATAATCTATTTACCGAATCGTGAGGAACTAAATCGAAATGCCTGCAAACTATTTTCCCATTTTCCAGTGGCTCGCTTGTAAAAGGGAAAACAAAGAGAGCTTTGATACACCAAAAAATCTAGTGGTTTTGTAGTTAATAATGGCATTAAAAACTTGACTAAAAATTCAATCCAATCCAATGAAAACATTATATATAGAATTGGCAACTGTGGAGATGGCAATGGCGGCAGAGTTTGGAGGGGGGAGCCCCAAGGAATTGCAGTGAGTCCCTATGAACAATCACCTCAATAAAACAAATTCAGTCCTTGTTGTCTCCTCTCCTTTTGTTGCTTTCCAATCTTCAATTCTCTCATCTTTCTCCTTTTAATTTCCTTTGCCTATTCTCTCTCCCTCTTCTCTCTTCCTCTCTCTCCTCCCAATGTAACACAATTCAAACGGATTCGTTTGATAACGTTCATGTTTTCTTATTTCTCGTTTTCAATTTTATTAAGAAATATAAGTATTTGACAACTATTTATGTTTTTTGTGTATCGTTTTCAATTTTATTAATAAATTGTATAAGTATTTTACAACTAGTTATGTTTCTTATTTCTATTTTTTAGAAACGTATAGAACTTTTTTAAAACAACAGAAGCAAGTTTCTTGTTGTTTCTTATTCCCATTTCTATTATTATTTTGTTTCAAAATATAAATAAAAATATTGTTTTATCATTATTGAATACATAGGTGTTGGGACTGTGCAATTCTTTTTCTCTGGGTTAAAAAGGAGGAAATAGAAATAAGAAATAGGAGAATTATCAAACAAGCTAGGAACTTAAAGGGACCATCTTAATAAAGACGTGTGAACAAGCGATTAGGTAAAAGAAAAACAACATAATCTATAGAAAAATTTAACACAATGCGATACATTATTGAGATTTAAAATTAGTTATTAATGAATTATAAAGGTTTAGGAGGACGACTATTAATGGCAGCAAGCTTGTTCCCAAATTCAAGCAACTCTTTACTTGTATCATCTCGATGGACAATAGTCTCTATGAAACACAAGCAATCATTTTTTTCTCCCATTGCTATTTGGATTGCTTTCACCAATTCTTCTTCTGTTTTAACCTTCAAGTTGAAATTTAGAACCCATGAAACAAACTAGAGAGAAAAAAAAAATCAGCAACGCAACGTAAAAATCAGCAATGCAACATTTTGATTATACAACTTTCATGGCTCTCAACTAACTTATGCACCTCGATACTCTGATTTAATCGAGAAAACTAGTTATGCTTGTTTTGGAAGAACTTTTAAGATAATTTTCTTACTTAATGAAAACATATTTTTTTTAAAAAGAAAGATATTTGTTTTCCTTATTTTGTAAGGCGTATATGAAAATAAAAAAGGAAAAATGATATTGAGATTTTACCTTGGTGGTCCAACAATTACCATTAGCATTATGCATGGCATCAACGAGGGCGGTATAGTCCCAATTCTTGATGACATTGTAAGGTCCATCGTGAATTTCTACTTCAATGGTGTATCCACCATTATTTATCAAAAATATTATGTTCCTTTGTCCCAACCTTAACATCGTCGATAAATCTTGTGGAGCCATCTGCACATAAAGTTATTTTCTCTATTGAAAATTTAAAGATCAAAATATAATAAGAATGACATATTGAAATAAGCTCGACCTGAAAGCTCCCATCACCCATACAGAGAACCATTCGTTCGTTTGATGCAGCTTGTGCATATCCGAGAGTTGCCCCTAAAGACCATCCAATGGATGCATAGATTATCTGCATCTCATACCTACATTTCTTCGAACTGTCATTCATATATCTTCAACTCACAATACTTTAATCACTGTGTTAAATTTGATAAGAATTTTACCCGCACGATTGTGGTAGTTTCAATTTTTGACAGTGAAACCAAGAGTCACCGGCCTCAGAAATCACAGCCATGTTACTCGACAACATTTTCTGAATATGTTTGAAAAGAACATTGACCCGCAAGGCCTCGCCCGGCTCCGACTGGAGTGGACCCGACTCCGGAACATAAATCCGGCGGTAATTCTCGTAGGCCGTTGGATTGGGCTTGAGGCGCTTAGTTAGGGCCCGAAGGAAGTCCATCATTAAAATGGGCCCAAAACTCGGCCCATTAGGAAACACGACGCGCTCCGGCTCCACGATAATCGCGTTGTTCTTTTTGTAGCAAAGAGAGAATCCGACGGTTTCAAGTTCGTCGAAAGTGGGCCCGGCGAAGAGCGAGGCGTCGGCGATCTCAACGGTCTCACCGCAGAAGGCGGTGCTGAGAACTCCCCAGTAAGTGCCGATGAAATGAGGGTGGTTCTCCGGGAACAGGCCTTTCGCCGACGGCGTGACGGCGACGGCGTAGCCACAAGCGTCGGCCAGCTCCACGAACGCCGCCTGGGCTTTGGCGAGGCGCAGCTTCTTTCCGGCGACGGCCACTGGTTTCACGGCGCTATTTAGAAGCTGAGCTGCCTTCTCCACCGCCGCCTCCAGACCCATCTGGTTACTTTGCCTGAGGAATCATCAAATAATTCAGGCAGAAAATTAACCATAGAAAACAATCTTTTTTTTTTCTTTTTTTTGAAAATTTTGTGAGTTAAAGGGCATATTAAATATCGGCAAACACAGGGACATATCTATCAATATTTCCATAAATTCGCGGGTTCGGTAATTGACATTTCTATCGTATTAAAAAAATCAATAATGTATCTATTAATATACATAATATTAATATTAATCATTTCTCACCTATTTAGAAATAAAAATATGTTTATTTGTTAATTTAAATATTTTTTGTACGATTTTTTAATTTCTCCTATGTTTATAGAATTATATATGAATATTTCCATCTATATTTTCATGAAATTGAAGCACTGACATTTTGAAGTGAGGAGTAAAATGGGATCGAATGATATTACTTGGGAGGGAGGGAAAGTGGGATGAGGGATTGGATCGAGAAAGAAGGATGAGGAGTGGCCACCAAATTGCAGCAAACGCTAATGTAAATTGGCTTGCTCTCTTCCAAACACTTGCAAATTGCTGTGTCTATCTTCCATTGTGCGTCTTTCAGACTGTCAATTACAGCCTACATAAGAAAGTAAATAAGGGTCCGTTTAATAACACTACAATTTCTTGCTTTTGTTTAAAAAATGAATTTCATGATCCAACATATATGAATTCAAGTATGATCAAATAATTTTTTTATTTATGTTTTGGAGTAAATGAAAAATTAGAAAGAGAGAGAAGAAACTTGTCTCGTTATTTTCAAAATTTCTGTATAATTTTAAGAACATTCTGAAAAATGAAAAATAAGAAACATAGTTAACTGCTAAATGTTTAAATTTGAAAATTGAAAACGAGAAATAGAAAACAACAACTTTAACAGATGAGTCTTAAAGTTTCTAAAATTGAAACATATATATACAAAGAAGTTGAAATTTTGAATCTCATTTTAGTTTTTCTAACTTTCAAAGGTTCTATCATCCTTGCAACTTTTAAAAAATATCCATTTCGATTAGCTTTGAGTATTTGTGTATCAAAATGTTGACGTGGGCATGTTTTGAAACTACAAATTAGCTAAGAAAAACAAATCTGAAAATTGAGGTAGTGAATAGAATAGAACACAAATTGAAATTACCTGATAACAAGTAACATTTTGAAAGCAACGAAGTTCTTGGGAGAAATCAGGCAGCCCAATGGTATGGTGGAGAATCTTTTTACTCCCATAATCATTGGAATTGGGCCCACCCACAATGCACACCACCGGAAGATCCTCCGAGAAAGCTCCGGCCACGGCGTTGAT